TTGGTATGTTCTTTTTTAAAGCTATTATATGAATAAGCTCTTGTAGCATTGATTTGCTAATTAACAAGTCTGCACAGACCCGCATTATGTAGTTTACTGCGTCAAATCGAATAATGCATTAAAAAGTTTATACGATCTTGTAAAATTATATAATACAGTAATAGATAAATGAGTGTTACCAAGAGAAAATCTGCAAATCTGAAAATAGATCATTTATGAAATTCATAAATAATTTATTTTTAGATTTTCAGGTTTTCTCTTGGCGATACTCATTTATCTATTACTTGTTTTTTTTTAATATTTTATTAAACTATTTATTTTTTTTTTTTGGCAAGGAAATTGATGTAAAACAATTCGCGAAATGTCAAGGTTATAAGTCAGAAAATCAACTTGCATACTTCAAAAAATGTGCCAACCATCACAAGTCTTGGGATTTTATTTGTAATATTTATCGTCAAGCGATTCAATGGAACTCATGTGGCCGTATATGAAGAGTCATTCTAAATTATCTGTTAAAGGATATCTCTCTTGGGTCAAAGAACAAGATTTGCTTTATCATATTAAATACGAGCAGGTTGTTATCAACTTTTATTTATTTTATAAAAAATTTTAATTTTAATACTAATATTTTATTATTATTATAGACATTCATTTATCTTCAGGCAATTATTAATTATAGGAAAGCTATAAGAACTAACCATTCTCTTTTAAAAAGAGCTGCTAGAAGAGTATTTTCACCAATTTGGTCTGCAAGGTGTCATCCTATCTATCAATTAATAGAAGTTGCCAATGAGGTTCAACTAATGCGGCTTCGTCTGAAGATATATAATCTTATAGAGAAAAATTGTGTTGTCTCTAGGTCAGGTATCTATGAACAACATCAGAGATTAGATGCTATTATCGAAGAGGTGAACAAGACTTTGAAGACTTTAATACCTCCAGTTCCACAGGATCATCACTGGAAAATTGCTGCACGCAATTGCAAGAAGTTTATTGAAATGATATATTTATTTTAATTAAATTAACTAATAAAAATTGTATATATTTTATTAATTAGCATTAAATTTTAGCTTCGAAGCAATTTGTTTAAAGTAATCAGATATCACGATCGTCAAATATCTGGAAAGACTCGACCAGAATCAATAGTGGAATGCCAAAGGTTTCGAGCTCATCTGCGAGGTCTTGAGTTTGTAAACCAAGATCTGGAAGAATATGATTGGATAAGAATTTAAAAAATTTTACTTCTTTAGCAAAACAAGCACAACAAAAATTTATTACTGAAGTATTTATTAATGGAAATAATTCATCTCCATTTAGGCCTATACCGATTACGAATAAGGAAGTAACAGCGCAAAGAAGTAAAGAAAATCTGACCAATCCTGAAATTATAATAAGAATTGAAGCCTTTTGTGAACAGCTTGATCAAAATTCGCGAAAGAAATATTCAGGATTAAGGTCAAAGAATAAAAATGAATTATTAAATATCTTGCGGGAGGTAAGATCTTTGTTTACTGTGAATTAAGAATATAACCAAGATGATGTAGAAATTTTAAAAATAGCTGAAGCTTGAAATTTTAAATACTTTAATATGAAATTTTCAAAAAATTTTGGGGTGCATTTTTTTTATAATTAGCTTAAGGTTAGTTTTGATAATTAAAATGTATAAGTAGATTTTGGTAGGTTTATATGTTTAAATTGAGATTTCTAATTTCATCTTCAGCCGTTTCAAGCTTCAGCTGCGAAATAATTAATCAGAATAGAACTATTATCAATACGATTATAAGCAAAAAGTTCTTGAGAAAGGTGGGCGGTTAATTTATAAGCAGGCGTATATTTGTATTTTTTTTCTTTCCTTAAAATTAATAAATCACCACTTTCCTAATAAGTAATTTAAATAATGCTATATTGTATTATTTATTTATTTTAAATACAATGTAAAAGTTCTATTCTAAAATAAAGATAATAAATTTAAAATTCCACTACGCAATTCAACTATCTATTTTTTAGCATTATTTCTGTATTTACATCAATAGTACGTTGCATGTATGTTTAAGCATGAGAAGATATTATTTTTTAAACATTGTATCTATTAAAAATAGCGATTTTAGATTCAAGGGCTATCGACTTTAAGATATTTAAGAGCAACTGCTAATTCACTATGGAGTCAGTAAATTTATTATATTCGAGATAATCAATATGTCTATCGGAAATGGCTTTTTCAAGCCATTCTTCTGTTATGTTTGCCGTGACTTTTGTATGTATATATCAAAAAAATTTTTAAATAGCACTAATGGATGGTGATAATATGGTTTTTATATAATATAGCATCTAGATTATTTTGTTCTTGACTTAAATATAAATAGATAAAATTATTTTTAACACTTGTAAATAGTATGTGTGCGAATATGAAAACCGGGAACAATATTTCGCACTACTGCGCTATAGCCATTTCTAGAATCTTCCGATCGACATTTTGATACCAAAAAAGGAGTGATCTATATTGTCCTAATTTAGTAAATCGTCAGACTGTAATAGATTAACTACATGTACCGATAAAAATAGTAAGTGGTCCAAATTAATTAGGTATTCAGTAAAGTAATACTGTATGGCAATACAGATTTGAACAGATATGCAGAAATTTTGATCATACATATAGTTAATATAGACTTGCAAATTAATTTTTATAAGTAATCATTTTTTATGGTTAGGGTTAGGGTGAGCACTGGTATTGTCCTATTTCATGTTGGGTTAGTAGACTAGTATTGTTCTGTTTCATGTTTGGGTTAATAGGAAAAGTAACTTATGTTTGACAAATTTTTCTTTTACAAACTGTATGTACTATCTTGATTCTATATGTCCATCCTAATTTGCATTCTGTACTGTACTACTTTACTATATATCTAAATTAATTAACTTCTATAAAACAATTTATCTTGATTAATCATTATTACGTATATATGTATATATAAGTATAGAAACTAGAATTCTATTAATAGTTTAAAAAAATTGGACATAGTACATTAAAAATGGGTGATTTAACTTGAAATACATACGTACAATAAAAAAGCATTATACTGCACATAGTGCTATAGTATCACCTTTATATATAGGCTTAGTGCTAGAAAAAGAGATAAGTTTGACCAAAAAATAATATTTACAAAAATTATTTATCTCATGAACTATTGATCAAAATTACATAATTTTGATACTTTTTAATTTGTTTTATCAAAATAAATCCAATATGGTGCAAGACATCTAGTCACATTATAGCACTGAAATTTAAAATCTATATATAAATATATATAGTAGTGCTAAATTTTAAAAAATATAATACTGGATTTAAAAATTTATATAATAGTGCTGAAATTTTTAGTAGGCAAATAAATAAATAAATAAATAAAAAATAAAAATAAAAAATAAAAAAAAGTAGTATCTCTTGATTTAGTAAAATATATAATATAAAGTGCTGAATTTTAGCAAAATATATAATATAAGTGCTGATTTTAGTAAAATAAAGCACTGAAAATTTTAAATTTAATATAAAATTAAAGAGTTTTTAAACTAAAATAACTTTTTAATAAAAAGGTTTTTTTAAAAAAACTCTCTGTAGTTATATTCTTTATGTTACAAAGAATATTAATACAAAAAGACTTTTTTAAAAATTATTATTAGTTAAAAAGTAATTAAACTTTTAGTACAAGCAATTATTTTGTGATGTGACTAGATGTCCCGCACCATAATATCAAAATCTTATAATTCAAATAATAATTTACAAAATAAATAATTTTTGTAAGAGAGTGTGGCAATTTAATGTAGGTGGTAAATTGTTGCATCTCCAAGTAGCAGGACAAGAGTTTGAATCCTACTGCTGATAAAAATTCAAATTTACAGAATGTATTACAGCAGACTGTTTGTTATCTGATGAGTTGGTATCTGTAATTTTAGTCATACTAGCTTGTACTGAAAGGCTGTAGAACAATAGTGTAATATATAAGTTATATGAAACCCAAGTGAAGTAGTCAGATAAATCTAAAGGCTTGAAGCATACAGAAACCTACTTGGCAAATTCTGAATAAAGAAGTAATACAAATCTTTCAGACACCAGCAGTAAATTGAACATGAATTCTTTGATCATTGGCTAGTGCCACATGCTATATTAGTATTATTTTTTCTTTTTACAAAATAAAATATAAATATGAAAACAAAGGGCAAAAAAAGTGGTAATACTTCGATATTTAAGTTCAATCCACCTAGTCAAATAAAACCAAAAAACATATAAAAGAAAATAAAATAAAAGAAAAGAAAACAAAGATAGCACTATTAAACCTATGCTGGATTGTAAAAATTATATAGTACTACTAAATAATCTAGTCTAAACTCTATACTAGTTATTTATATCTATATTGGGATATGTAAAATATCTATTTTTAAGTAGAGATTCAAGTTCAAAAATTTTCTTGTAGTCCTATCGGGTTTGATGTAATATCTTGCAATGCATTCTTGTGCTAGTATTTGTTTTTGGGCAAAGATAAGCAACCTATGCTTTTTAGTTTCTGTAAATTTTGGTGTAAACACTGTAACCTCTTGAAGTAACCAATCAGACATTTTTAATCCCAAAGTAGACATATACTTCTGTATGTAACTTTTCTTTTTCAGTAGTTATTGTTGTTGTTGATTCTTTGATGAAGTACACTGACTTGTTCACTTTTATTGAAATTTTATAAAAAACAAAAAGTAGAGTTTTGGTAGAAGGTTTTAGTTTGCAGATAGTCTTAAACTATGATAAGAAGTATATTAAAAACTTGCTTGTTGTTTTCCTTTAGACCAACTAGCTTTCACTTCATCAGCTGAAGCTATACTTATATTAAAATTTTTTGTACAAGGGCATCACCTTCTTCTAATTATCTTGTACAAGAATGTTTTTAACTGCTTGCTAAATATACAAAGTAGTCTGGAAGAAAATAATTAAAAGAAACCTTAACCTCTATAAAGACTATTACTTATAGTTGTCTCTTTTACTTACTTTAACAAGTTTTCCATTTTCATTAGTCATAAGTTTGGTATGAGTGATTATTCCTTGGTGTTTTTTATATATATAAATTTTTTATATATATTAATATTAATTTGTAAATCTATATGTGATTATTAATCAGATGTATAGTAATTTTCTTCTTTTATAAAATAATACAAATATATCTTTTATAAGTTAAATCTAATAATAAAATTTGCAAATTATAGGTTTATTTAATATATTGTCAAAATGATGTGAACATTTAAACTTATTTTTTTTTTCTTTTAGCAATCCTGTTTACTTTATTATGGAAACAGACTTTCATTTTTACATCAACATATAGGGGTGATTTAATAGAAATCAAGCAAATTATTTTATTAAATTTTTTTAAAACTTCACACACCAATAACTTAAAAAAACTTGATCAAATTTAATAAAAATTTTTTGCACAAATTTTATAAGTTTGTAGAATTTATTTAAAAAAAATTTTATTAAATTTAATTAAGTTTTTGTTGAGTTATTATTATTTAAAGTTAAAAAAAATTTTATTTAAAAAAATTTGCTTGATTTCTATTGACCTAACCCTATATGAAAAAATCTAAATCTATAGTGTTCCTAACCAAAAGATAAACTCACTTACAGTGTACATCGCTGATGCTATAATATCTACTTGTGGTTAGGATAAACCATTAAACTACTGCATTTTGCTCAGATACAATCTGTCTAGTGAACGATTAGCCTTTTTTAGAGATTCTGAAATTACTTCAGACTTATTTCTTCCATATTTCTCAGCTAGCTGTTGCACCACCCTGTCAAGATTCCCACTCTACAATAGAATGCTGCTAAACTGATGACACTTTCTTGTAGAAAAGGAAAAAAGAAAAAAAAGTGATAATAGGAAATGAAAAAAAAGAGTATATAATAAAAACTAATATATTAAAAAAAACGGATACTAATACTAAGGAATATAAAAAAAACTAACCTAAAATCCAAAAAAAACTATTACTAAAAAAAAGAAAACCTGCTAACCAAGTGAAAACTTCTAAATATACAGAGTCACGATCTACTATTAAGTGTAAGAGTTTTGACAAGAAATTTAAAACTAAAATAAAATGCATTATAACTTGTGTTAGAGGCTAAAAATTATATACAGGTAACTAGAGGATACCTGTATATTTCTTTTCACTTTGCTTTACTCTTTTAATTAAATTTATATCTTCATCCAAAAGTATAAAAATTTTGAAATCTTCATATATCCTATCCAATGATCACATGTTTGTATGTCCTCAACAACACAACATGTAAGGTATTCTTCCAAATACTCAACCAGTTAATTTACTGGCGCTGTTCATTTTATATGTGTTGTTTGTCATTATGCAGAGTTTTCTGATATGAAAGTGATAAAACATTGCTGATTTTATGAAGGGGATATGCCGAATTCTCTACTTTTTGTTGAAAGTTATGGCCAAAAGTATTGAAGCAAAAAAAAATACTATATTTGTGAAAGCTCAAGACAATGAAAGTGTTTCCAGTTGTTTTTTGTAGAACTAAAAAGCTTTAAACACTTGAGTCAGGAGTTTTTTACCACTACTGTTACCAAAATAATTCTTTTGGCTTGGATGCTGAACGTGCGAAGGAGTTCACCAAAAAGAAAAGCTTAATCCAAAACACAAACCAACTATATATGCCTGCTTCTCGGTGTTTCATATATAAGTTTTCATCAACACAGTACCAATAAGAAACCTCAAATATCTTTGGACTTTTTAGGTCTTGAATCTTTAAACTGTTTTGGTGTAGTCTTGGTTTAAGTAATCATTAAAAAGAGTTGTTTTGATATTTGAACTTATTTGTTTATAGTTGATTATAATATAGATTTAATATATTTCAAATCAAGATTATGAATTTGTATAGTTTCTTTATTAGACTGCAAATCCTCTAATATGAATTTTAGCATCTGATTTCAGTATTATTTTTAATATTTATTGTTGGGGATGATGCTGAAACAAGAAGATGCTAAAACGTGAAGTCTCAATTTAGAAATATAAATCCTACTAAAATCTATTTATACCTTTTTATTATAAACACCAGCCTTAAACTCTAACTTAACTACAAAAAAAACCCCAAAAAACATTCCCAAAAATTTTAAAATTTTATATTAAAATAAGTTAATATTTCAGCATTATTGTGTTTTAGCATCATATCTAATATATTAATATAGTTAAATAATATAAGCAAAAAAATGAAAAAAGTGATCTATTGTTTTACAAAATTAAAAGTGTTTTATATAGTATGCGTAAGCTCTTGCTCTTGCAAGAACTCAGCTGATCTAAGCTAAGCAGAAAATGCATAGCACCATAGTTATTAACAATATATTTCTACTTTTTGGCTTTTTTGGTTTAAAAAATTGATAATTAGAACAAGCTTCTGATTTTATATTGTAGATCATTTTGATTAAAAACAGTGAATACAATGACTTCTAATTAGCTAATTTTTAAATTAGCATTAGAGCAAATTTAGTATAGATTTCTATTTGTATATATATATATATATAATTACTGTTAGTTTATGATAAATACATAAATTACCATATATATAAGTTGATTAGACTTAGCTAGTTTGCTAAAAAAGTTGTTCAGATTTAGATTAGGCCTGAATTGATCTATAATTAATGTTTTCAGAGGCAAATTGTTGACGAATTCTATCAAACCAAATTAATTCAAATAACTAAACATTGTTTATTACTAAGAAATACAAATTTGTTAGAAAATAATTTAGATTTTATAAGTTTATTGATAAGGTACTAATTTTTTATGTTCTAAATTAATACATAGACTAGTATAGCTACATGTCACTCTTGTATCTGGTAAGTTACCAATAGGTTTAACTTAATATTGTTTTTTAATACAGTACTTTATAATTTAATTAATTCGAATATTAAAGAACTTGAAATTGTCTAAACAAGTAAATTTGCTTTCAAAAAATTTTAGAAATTAAATAACTTTGGCTACATGAATATTTACAAAAATATAAGTCTATTAATTTAGATTAGTAACAAAAAAAATTTAACTGCCCAACTGAACTTTGAAATGCCAAACAAAAATTAACTTTGCGTGGCCTAATATAAACATCATAAAAATATATATATATACATATCTTATTCAAAGCATCTTTGCTAGCAATAATTGAAAATTTAGAAGGTTTATCAGTTCAAAAAATTAAATGTAAGCAGAGCTACTTTAAGTCAGGTTCTAGGCATTTTTAACCTTTTTTGATTAGAATCTTGATTTTTTCTTACATTCACAGGCTACTTGTAGGCTGACTTATAGGTGATGTTATAACTAGAGAGAAACTTTGTATCAGCTGAGCCAATTTAGCTTAGAGTCATAAGCATTAAAAGAAATAAACCAAGTATTTATTAACACACACAAGGCACCAAAAAGTACTAAGAATCCCAAGTGATACAAGTATCTTATAAATATATCCCAACAAGTATACTCAGTACACTATAGTCCTTCCAAATATCCCTTGTTCCAACTTGAAGACCAAACTAAAATCCCTAAATCTAATTAACTAACTCTCTTCTCTTTACAAGAATATCGCTCTATATATATATTAAATTAGACTTTAAATAAGCTATATACTATTTACATACATGTAGTATAACAATATAAAGTCTAATTAAACTTATACTCTAGACTATAAACTTTGCATAAACTATTATAATGTTACTCAACTGAAAGTCTGATTGTTACGTTATTTTGCGTAGCAGTGACCTGTGGGTTGACCCATCTGCTTTTACCCGAGTTGTCATAATCCAACCCAGGTCCAAATATTCGTATCACTGAACTATCTTTCCGGATGATCATCCTAGGTGCCAATTGATTTACATTAGCCAATCAGATGAATTTCTCCCTAAAGCAATTGCGCAATTTGATTGGATATCTGTATTCTGCGGCATAAAAAAAATTTTAGTTTTTAATTTTTTCTGACCCGGCTGGATATGAAAACCAGTTTATTTTTTTTTGCATTGCCTAATATCTAATCTTTTAATAAGTAAATCATATTTTTGTCTCTAATTAAAGTTGTAGAAACAATCAAGAAGATTCTAAAGATTATTAAAACGTTAAAATCGGCCCAGTAGATCATTAGATAAAATTTCTTTAAATTTACAATAAGATCGTAAAATATTTTTTGATCATATCTCATGATCTACTAGGCCGATTTTAACGTTTTAATAATCGTTAAAATCGTCTTGATTGCCTCTACAACTTTAATTAGAGGCCAAAGGTAAGTCTTATTAATAAAAAATTAGTAATCTTTTTTTTTTTTTATATAATATATATCTAAATAATTTTCTTGCAATTTTATTGGTTAAGATCGAAGCGTGGGTCAATCACATTCTGATTGGTTTTTGTTTCGTGTCACATGATCACATGCCTAGGGTCGGAAGCGACGGAGGTCGGATAGGGGTGCAATAACAATTCTCTATAAAATACGTGAAAGAATTTTTTATCGTTATTTTTATTTTTATTTTTTTTGTACTTTTAGAAGTAATCTTAAGAAAATTTCTATTTGTACACTGGGTGTATATACACGGGTAATATAGATATCTCAAAATATTGATTATAAAACTACTTTTTGGCTTCTAACAAAAAAAATTCCTTGTGAAATTTTGGTATAGGCTATATCTCGCCCAATCCCAAATCCACCCTTATCCTAAGGTTTAATTTTTCGTTTGTAAAAATTGTTTTGATTGGCATGTTATACGAATCTGTAATTTAATAAATTATACTCATGTATAAACATTACGTGTAAACTAATAAATTTTCTTTTTGGAAACTCATAGCGAAGCCATGTCAAAATTTACGGTATTATAGATTTTATATGACAAATAAATTGTTGAAATTCTGGTTTACTTCTAATGGATTCAGAAAATTCTGAAAAACGACAGATTTTCTGTCTTGTTTTAGGTGAAGCTATTAGAAAATCCTTTCCAGTCGATATTGATAAAAACATGACCGTTGGGCACTTAAAAACGTTCATTATGCAGAATATGAACCCTGCTTATACCAATTTCACTGCGCGCGACTTAGAATTGTGGAAGGTCAACATCCCAATCACCATAGAAAATATAGACACGAAAATATATGAAGAAAACCTTGATGAATATAAAGGTGTGAGGTTGCTTCCAAATGCTACTATGAAAATAGTTTTTGATGAAGAGTTCGAAAATAGTAATATTCGTATAATCGCTGGTAAGTGTATTCTTTCTAACAAAAAAATTTGCAGTTGCCGCACTTTTTTATTCAATTATTCTTTTATTCGAGTAGATGTGAATGAAGAAAGTGGAGGTCGGAAGAAAGAGAAACGAACATGTATGTAGTATATGCTGCATGTACCATTTACTAGTAATATTGATTTTAAAATTCGTTTTGTCATTTTCATGACCTGCTTGATATTTGAAGATCCAGAGGAATCAGAAGAAGGTCGTGATGGTCTTATGGTTATATCACCTAAAAGATTGAAATGGATCATCGAATTTGTGGAAAATAAGAAGGTTACACTTTTGCGCAGTCCTCCATCATCAGGCAAGAGTACTCTTGGGCAAATGCTCCGAGACTATTTTGGAAGTCTCAATTATGATAGCATATATATTAGTCTTGCTGCTATAAGTGGTGGACCAGAAATATATGATAGGAGGCTTTTCGATAATTTCTGGAAAAAGCAAGTTGATTTTACGTGGACAGAAATTAGTATATACAAAAAAATTGTTTATGTATTCATTGATGAGATACAGGTCATTTATGGCAACGGTGCTCCATTCTTTTGGGGTAGTCTGAAGCAACTTTTATCAAGCGAATCATGCTTACAAAACATTCGTATAATTTTGCTTGGCACATATCATCCAACACTTGATCCTCAAGTAACACCCATGGAAATTCATAACACACTTGGTTTGAATGCTCTACTTCTAACCTGGGATGAAGTTCAACAACTTATAACAAACTATATTCAAAGGCATGCTACTTTAGGTAGTCCGAACTTCAACATTCCTGAACCTGTTCAGAAGGCAATATTTAATCTCACTGGTGGACACCCTGGTTTGTGCCGATTCATTTTGACTGCGTTACGCAATCAATTTCGTGAAAACGGAAATGCAATGGAAATGTTGCGATTTCTTGCTTCATCATCACTACGAGATAGTATATTAGGAATTGCACGTGCTTTTCACTGGATCCGAGACTGGAATATAACCGAAGAAGAATCTGAATTTATTCGTAGAAAACTACTTTATCAATCTAATGCTCCCTTTCATGCTGATTATGTCTTAAATCCCGTTGTCAAGAAATTTGTTAAGATAGGTCTCTTTTCCACAGTAGGTCCTAATGAACAAATGCAATTTTCTGCACCTATAATGCGAGTTATTCCGAGCCACTATCTGTTCACCGCTCCGATAAAGCTTGGACCATCCCCAACAAGAACTTTTGACGAATTTTTAATGAGAACCATTGAGCTTATGAGTGCATATAATTTGCATCAATCACTTGGAAATGGATGTGGTAATAATTCATATTTATATGAACGAAGTTGGCAAATGGAATGGTATCGCACTGCCACAACTGTAGTTCCAGTAGGTACATCAATTAGTGCTGATGTTGGTGCCGTATTTGGTTCTGTAGGATTTTTAGATTTCTATGTAAATGGAGAACATTGCTGGGGAGTTGAGCTGACCCGTGAGGGAAATCGTTTGAATGAGCATGCAACACGATTTGAAATCGATGGCACATATAATGATATTCCATTAAAGCAATGGGCGATCCTTGATTTCAGGCATCATTCAAAAAAAGTAAGAAAATTTAAACCAAACTTCTGGTATGTGCACTACTCAGATGACTTTACAAATATTACCATAAAGCGTGATGGATTTGTTGATGTGAAGCTTTGTTTACAAGATGACAATATGTAATGTTGGAACATGAATATAATAAAGATACGAAATAATTGCAAGTTAGCAGAAATTTTCATATCAAATTTATGTCATGGGAAAAAAAAGAAATCACACGATCATATAAAATGTCGGATAAATGATTACAAATTTTAAAGCTTATAACGACTAGAAAAAACCTATAAAACTAGACAAACTGACTACAGAAAAGCCTCCCTAAATGCATCTTTTTGAACCCTTCTTCTAATAATGAGAATTTCTCATCTATGTCCACAATAACCTGTCAATATTCTCGTTTATCACATTTATCTAATTCTTGCATGAATCTTGAGTTTTATCTCATTTCCGTGGTGTTTTCCCATCCGAATATTACAGCCGTTTTCATAAATTCTTAGAACACCTAAAAAAATTGACCGATAATTATTCGGCCAAATTCCCATAACTCAAAATCAGCATAAAAACCACCTTTAGTGCTCATACAAAGTTTTCGTTGGGCAATTTTATTATACAAACTACTCTTCTCTAACTTATAAACCTGACCCTAACTCTAACCTTAACGAATTTTAAAAACTTGTCTGCGCCACAAACCTGGTACACATTATCCGAGTGCAGCACTACTAATCGAATCGATAGGGTCGTGAGAAGATAATTAATTTAAAATCTTTTTGTATTTTTTAACTAAAGAATGACGATGATAAATAATTGTAACAAATAAATATAGTCAATTCATATATGTGTTCAGTTTCTTTGACTTGTATTTGATCTTTTCTGTTTATTACGGCACTTTTTCAAGTCACCAATTGTTTTCCTTTTTATTCGCTCATTTATTTTTTAAACTTTTAATAGATCATTACTTGTATTATCGCTACGAATATCTTATGACTGATAATTCATGCGACGAGTGTTATCATATGATAAATTTATAACGTGAGCTGCATTTTTTTGCATTTTTTTGTGGGTGATGCTAGGTTGCTCAGGTAAGCACGTACAGTACGTAGGTTAGTCATGTCACAAAAAATTGTCGGTCCATGATATTCAAGTCGATCTGAGACAGAGACCATTCGAATGTGGAAGGGATTTTCATGCTAAATCATCATTGTTTGGACCAATCATAATAGCATAATATGATTGATCGACCAATCAAATATGTTATAAAGCAAAGAGTGACCTTCCATTTTCTTAAAGAATTTTTTACATTTCTTAGAAAAGGCATATGAGCCTTTCAAAAAAGTATTGTAAAATAATATAAACAAATTCGTTATCAATTGTGTAACAACAACTTTGCAACTTCCAGATCATTCAGACTGACGGTGCTTAAAACGCGACAAAACAATTGCATGTCATTAATTAATATTTAATAATATTTAATATGATACGTAGTTCGAATAGCCTGAACCGACAATTTTTGTGACGTGGATAACCTACGTACGTACGTAAGACATAAGGATTTTTTGTTACATATCTGATATAGATTATCAAGTAAAAATTATATTTATAGAATTATATATAAAATAATTGTAAAAAAAAAAAATCAATTGTAAGAAAAGTCTAATTATCAGAGAAGCCGTGTAAATGTTGTGCGTCAAATTAGAATAGGCGTGGGTTTAAAACCGAGTTGCGTCAAATCGACATTTAAGTTTGAGATGCGTAAAATTAAAATTTCCAACTTGCGTCCAATTAAAATAATAATTTATACATAAAATAAAGCAGAAAATAGCAGATAATTCAAATAATCGTACAAATTATTCAATACATATATTCGCTACATATATTAAACATGATTTTTATTATTGCATGACTTTCCACCGTGGCATTTACTTCCACACCCAACGTTAGATTTTTTGCAATGACATTTATTAGTATTACAGTCGCCTTTACACTTGCACATCATTCCCGTAAGCATGCCAGTATTTTGACTTCGTGCTGCTTCTCTGACGGATATATGACTCGATGGAATATTATCCAATTCAGGATATTCTTTTACACCTAATGGTTCCATCTCACCAGCACAATATAAGTTATTCAATATTCCGTCTTTGCACCCAAGGCAATATTTAAATGTATCATTATAACTTAACTTTTCTAAGACTTTACATGGAAGAATTGGTCGATCTGTATCAAATTGATCAATTTTAGGGATAAGAATTTTAATATACTCTCCAATTTCATATTCTAATCTACGCTTTGATCTTGCAATCATTGCAGAGGTCATTTTGGCCGTATAATTTTCTAAATTTTGGCAAGCAAAGTCTCATAATACTTGATGCCCTGTTAATGATTGATTAGATATATCTTGTAATGGTAATGGCTATACACAAAAAAAAAGTTACAAATTAAATTCAATATAATACTTGTTCATGTGGTCTACGATTAATAGAAATCAAGCAGATTTATTTAATAAATCTGTTTGATTTCTATTAATCGTAGACCACAAATAAGTAGAATGTTAGTATTATACAACTTACTGTTTCTTGACTTTCATTATCTGGATCCGTGTTATTATAATTTACTGTTTCTTGATTTTCATTATCCGGATCCAAATCTTGATTTAAAGTTGCTGATCTACTTAAAGAATTACCTTCCAAAGATATAGTATCGGTATCGGTATTATTGATTAAATCATTCAAATCAGTAATCGATTCTTGAATATTTTCTAACCCAAATTGGTCTAGGGTTTCATCTTCAGAAAGAATACTTGTTTCAAACAAGTGATCAAGTGCTGCAGAATGTCTATGTGGAACATCACCAAATACAAGCTCATATAGTCTTTTATTATGCGCTCTACAAATTGAATTATTCATTGAATAAATCACGAATCTCAATCCAAATGACCAATCTTGACGGTTATTATCCTCCATCTATTTTTCTAGTTTTACTTCAAGAATTCCATTTGCTCGCTCCACCAAGCCTTGACTAGCAGAATGTCTTGGTCTGCCATTAATGATTTGAATCGTGGGCCATAAACGAACTAATTCAATAATTACTGTAGAAACAAATTCTTTCCTATTATCTGATTGAAGGATCAGTGGTGGTCCAAAGGTGGTAAAAATCTCAAACAGAAAAGCTGCTACTTCTACTGCTCGCTTTGAGGTAAGTGCACGGGCCCAGGAGTATCTTGTAAAATAATCACGCACGTGAGCAATATATTTAAATTGATTGTCATGTTTAAAGGTCATGTCAACTAAGTCAATCTATTTTAAATAAAAATTTATTATAATTAAAATTATAAATAAGTTACTATTAATAAAAACAAATTAATAATAATAAATTTACTTGTAATCGTGACATGAACTTTCATTCAATGATTGGGATCCTGGCTAATGGTTGAACTCTTGTTAGCCTTGTTGCACAAATACTACATTGTGTCACAAACTTTTCTACAAGATCTTGTCGACAATATCCCCATTTACTACTAATTTGATTCCATGTTTCCTTTTGGCCAGCATGTTGAGTAACTGTGACATGTATTTTGCCAAATTCATCATACATATTTTCTGTAACTAATACAGGAAGTTCAATGATGATTTTTTCGTTGTTTTTTTTATTTTGTTTTCGAACATGGAGTACAATATAAGAATCACCGATCTTTTGTAATTTAAACTTATTTTTAGCCCAATAACGAAAAGTTGAAGTATAAAGTGTAGTATTCATGGGATCAAGAAGAACTTCCTTAATTTTTTGTAGTTTTTCTTGATCTATCAGTGCCTTTTCTTTCTTATTTGGTGCTAAATTGTCAATATATTTTTTAACCAAGTCATTGAAGGTTTGTCGTGAAATAAATGAATACTCCATAGTAATTTAATTCAGTACGAATATGTATTCATTGCAAGAAAAAAAGCCAAAACAAAAAAATTTTATTATATATTATTACATATTACATTTGTTATGCGCATTTGAGTTTGACGCATAAATGATGAACTAGTTTGACGCATCTTGAATTTAAATTCCGATCCGACGCAACTCAATTTAAATTCTACACCTCTCTGAATTTGACGCATGACATAAATAAGTAAACTTAAAAAAATAGATCATTTATTTTGACATTAATTTTGAAATCCTAAATTAAATAAAATTGATCTCTCTTTTGTCAATTCAACATATGGATGCGGAAAATTATAAACCTATGTTTCGCATTTTGCTTATTATCAAAATCGGAAATTGTGGGTCCTTTACTTCTTTCTAAACAATAGCTATTTTTCACCATTAAGTTTTTATTTATAACTAAAACTTCATTGTTCTGTGAAAATTCGGTTTTAATTATTAATGTAACTTATATGTTTGTATAACAGATTATCAGGACTCAAACATTATTATTTTAATTTATTTTTCTGCCTCAATAAAATTAAGAATATAATTTGAGGGTAATAAGATCTACTTCTATAATTCGATTCAATGTTTGTTGAGTCATATTCAAAACATCTTTTATTACATATTCTGATTCAGATAATTCTAATAATATTTTTTTGTCATATTTCCATTTCATAAAAATATTATAAACTTCTTCTGCAGTTGGACGATTTTCTGGATATTTTTCCCAACACCTTTTCATTAGATTTATATAACATTTTGGTGAATCCTTAATGATCTTTGGTCTTAAGTAATGAATGGTGCCATAATTCAAAATCTAATTTGTAGTAATGTAATTACAAAAGTAGTAATTGTAATAATAATTATTACATATAGTAATCATTACTACACGTAGTAATAATTATTACATATAGTAATAATTATTATATATAGTAATTATTACTATATGTACAGTAGTAATCATTATTACATGTAGTAATTTTTACGTACTTGCAATAAGACACAGGATAGGCTTTTCTTTATGCTTATATAGTAATAATTTAATCAATTTCAATTACAATGATACATAATATAAATTCACAACTTTAATATGCATAATATTTAAAAGCATTGAAACCTAATACTAAGGTCAGGATAGAGATTAAAATAGAGCATGTTCTATACCAAAATTTCACAATAAATTTTTTTTTATTAGAGCGCAGAAGGTGTCTATATAGTTAAACTTTCGAGTTATCAACAGTTTTTTTTAAAAGTGTGATTTCACGTTACACTTGATCTAGTAATCTGAAAATTTTGATTGGTACGTGAGTAAATTCAATATAAGGATCTACATATTGCATAATTGTACTCTTGATAACTATATATAGTAACATTTACTACGTATATGTAGTAAATATTACTACATGTAGTAAATATTACTACATGTAGTAATATTTACTACTTACGTATATGTAATAATATTTACTACATGTAGTAAATATTATTACATGTAGTATATATTACTCTAATTATGGTTTTAAAAAACCTTTGTAAAAATATATGTAGTACGTAAATATAATTGTAGTAATTAGCTACTTACGGCACCATGCTTTAGTCTTAAGCTCTCACAGCATATCTCTATTTGAAGTTGGTTATTAAATTCTCGATCGCAATCAATTTTCCATATAAAATTTCCCACATAATTATGCCAAATGAGTAGATATCAGATGCTGTAGTATACGGCTTTTTATCAAAAATTTCGGGTGCAATATATGGTAAAATTCCATATATTTCTTCTGATTCAATGCAAAATATTACCACTACGCGAATCTCGATGAATAAGTTCATGAGAATGAATTATTTGAAGATCTGATGAAATGCAGAGTAATAAATTTAATTTATCTCTCCATTTCATTTGTGCTATTTTGTGAATATTATCACGCAAGGATCCACTTGCATACGCGAATATAATCTTTAGAAGAATCATCTCTTGATTTTCCAAGGCATTTGAAAAATGATGGATTTTTATAACCAATATTACAATATGCTTTTAACTTTAATAATACTAGGCTAATGCGTTGCATTATGTGTCCGGAGCACATGACTATCATCATATAACACAAACGCGTAAGCATGCATGT